AAACCCCGTCTCTACTGAAAATACAAAAATTAGCTGGGCACGGTGCTGCATGCCTGTAATCCCAGCTACTCAGAAGGCTGAGGCAGGAGAATTGTTGAACCCAGAGATGGAGGTTGCACTGAGGTGAGATGGTGCCATTACACTCCAGCCTGGGTGACAGAGTGAGACTCTGTTTCAAAAAAGAAAGAAAGAAGAAAGAAGGAAGAAAGAAAGGAAGGAAGGAAGGAAGGAAGGAAGGAAGGAAGGAAGGAAGGCAGGCAGGAAAGAAAGAAGAAAGAAAGAAAGAAAGAAAGAAAGAAAGAAAGAAAGAAAGAAAAAGAAAGAGAGAGAGAAAGAAAGAAAGAAAGAAAAGAAAGAAAGAAAGAAAGAGAAAGAAAGAAAGAAAACAAAAAAGCAGGCTGGGCACAGTGGCTCATGCCTGTAGTCCCAGCACTTTGGGAGGCAGAGGCAGGCGGATCACGAGGTTAGGCGTTTGAGACCAGCCTGGCCAACATGGTGAAATTCCATCTCTACTTAAAAATTCAAAAATTAGCCAGGTGTGTTGGTGTGCACCTGTAATCCCAGCTAATTGGGAGGCTGAGCCAGGAGAATCACTTGAACCTGGGAGGCGGAGGTTGCAGTGAGCCAAGATCAAGCCACTGCACTCCAGCCTGAGTGACAGAGTGACACTCTGTCTCAAAAAAAAAAAAAAAAAAAAAGACTTTACACAAATGTTCATAACAGCTTTATTCTTACTGACCAAAACCTGCAAACAACCCAAATTCCATAAATACGTGAATGGAAAAATGGGGTTGTAGCATATTTGTACCATGATATACTACTCAGTAACAAAAAGGAATGAATTACTGACCTAATATTATGTATAAAGCCAGGTGTGGTGGCTCATGCCTATAATCCCAGAGACCCCCGGAAGCCAAGGCAGGAGGATCCCATGAAGTCAGGAGTTCAAGACTAGCCTAGGCAACATAGCGAGACCCTATATCTACCAAAAAAAAAAAAAAAAAAAACAACCAAAAAATTAGCTGGATATGGTGGTGTGCACCTCCAGCTACTTAGGAGGCTAAGGCAGGAGGATTACTTGAGCCCAGAAGTTGGAGGCTGCAGTGAGCTATGACTGCACCACCGCACTCCAGCCTGGGAGACAGAGCAAAAGACGGACTCTTAAAAAAAAAAAAAAAAAAAAATTGTGGCAGGGGGAATGAATCTCAGAAACATTAGATTGAGTGAAAGGAGCCAGACACAAAAGTTTGATTGTTTCCATTTACAAGAATTCCATTTTACAAGAATTTTGATTCCATTTACAAGAATATCTAAGATACGCAAAACAATCAGTGGTTGCCTGCGATAGTGGTTGATGGCAGCAGGGACTGCCTACAAAGAGACACGAGGGAAGTTTTTGGAGTGATGAGAATATTCTATGTCTAGATTGTGGGGGAGGCTACACAAGTATACATATTTGTAAAAACCCAGGGAAATGGACACTTAAAATGGATACAAAAGGAGATACACTACTGGTCCCTGGAAAAGCATATGAAAAGATGCTCAGCATCTTCAGTTACCTGAAAAATGTAAATTAAAACCACTATGAGCTATTACTACACATCCACCAACATGGCTAAAATTAGAGTGGCAATACCATTCAGGGAAAAGTCCTATGCAGAAAAAATAAAGAGAAAGAAATAAAGTGGCAATACCAACCATTGACTGGGTATATAAAGTTGATTTTTTTTGTTTGTTTTTGAGATGAAGTTTCACTCCTGTTGCCCAGGCTGGAGTGCAATGGTGTGATCTGGGCTCACTGTAACCTCCGCCTCCCAGATTCAAGCGATTCTCCTGCCTCAGCCTCCCGAGTAGCTGGGATTTCAGGTGTCCACCACCACGCCTGGCTAATTTTTATATTTTTAGTAGATGAGGTTTCGCCATGTTGGCCAGGCTAGTCTCAAACTCCTGACCTAAGGTGACCCTCTTGCTTTGGCCCCCAAAGTGCTGAGATTACAGGCGTGAGCCACAGTGCCTGGCCTAAAGTTGATTTTTAAAAGAGTACCTAGAGAACAGAAAACATGATTGCAAATGGATTAATGATCATATAAAAAATATTAAACCCTGTTAAAATTTAAACTACAATGAGATACTGTTTGATACTTACCATGCTGACAATATCAAGAATTGGTGAAGGTGTACGCCAACATGGGAGTGCAAATTAGGGCACCCAGTTCAGGAAATAATTTGCTGTTATTCAGAAAGTTGAAAATGGGTCTACCCTACTGTCCAGCAGTTGTGCTCCTACACACATATCCTGAAAAAACTCTTGCATACACACAAGAATACCTGAAGCAGCTTTGCTTGTAAAAGTAAAAACTAGAAGCCATTATAAAAATCCAACATAGGCTGGGCACAGTGGCTAACGCCTGCAATCCCAGCACTTTGGGAGGCCAAGGCAGGTAGATCACCTGAGGTTAGGCGCTTGAGACCAGCCTGGCCAACATGGTGAAACCCCATCTCTACTAAAAATACAAAACTTACACCATTCATGGTGGCACAGGCCTGTAATCCCAGCTACTTGGGAGGCTGAGGAAAGAAGAATTGCTTGAACCCAGGAGGGGGAGGTTGCAGTGAGCTGAGATCATGCTACTATACACTCCAGCCTGGGTAACAGAGTGAGACCCTGTCTAAAAAAAAAAAAAAAAAAAAAAAAAAAAAATCCAACATAAAGAGATACACATATAAAGTGCAGTGGACAATGTAATTACAACACAATTAAGGTTGAATTCATAAATATTTTATGCCATGTTTGTACATGATAGTGAAAACATCTTCAACAATCTGTGGAACACTTATAAAAGCTGAGATTTTAGGTCACAAAGAAAACTTTCATACATTGCCCAATGCAGAAACTGTACCATAATGTAATAAATGTTGAGATAACAAAAGTTAAAACAGAAACAAAATAAATAATCTAGAGGTTACTAAACACTTGTCAAAATCATTACTGCTGAGTAGATGGAGTCTCACTTTGCTGCTCAGGCTGGACAGTGCAATGGCTCGATCTCGACTCACTGCAACCTCCACCTCCCGGGTTCAAGAGATTCTCCTGCCTCAGCCTCCCAAGTAGTTGGGATTACAGGTGCCTGCCACCCTGCCTGGTTAGCCTGGCCAATTTTTTTTTATTTTTAGTAAAGACAGGGTTTTGCCATGTTGGCCGGGCTCTTCTTGAACTTCTGATCTCAGGTGATCCACCCGCTTCTGTCTCCTAGAGTGCTGGGATTAACAGGCATGAGCCACAGCGCCCGGCCAAAGAGAAATTTTTTGAATTTAAAGTCTATATAGAAAATAACGAGCCGGGCGCGGTGGCTCAAGCCTGTAATCCCAGCACTTTGGGAGGCCGAGGCGGGTGGATCACGAGGTCGAGAGATCGAGACCATCCTGGTCAACGTGGTGAAACCCCGTCTCTACTAAAAATACAAAAAAATTAGCTGGGCATGGTGGCGTGTGCCTGTAGTCCCAGCTACTCAGGAGGCTGAGGCAGGAGAATTGCTTGAACCCAGGAGGCGGAGGTTGCGGTGAGCCGAGATCGTGCCATTGCACTCCAGCCTGGGTAACAAGAGCGACACTCTGTCTCAAAAAAAAAAAAAAAAAAAAAAAAAAAAAAGAAAATAACGAAAGTAAGAGCACATTCAACTGCAAACTCAGAGGGTGAAATGCTTTCATTATTACAAAAAAAAAAAAAAATACATTTTCCGTATTAAAAGGAAAATAATTCGCAAGGAAAGCAGGGAGGCAATAAAGATAATCAGCGATTGTGACTGCTCCTGTACTGTGTCCTCTCCCAGTAGAACAAACTCATTCATCCACCTGTATTTCCAGTGAATGGGCTCAATCAACTCTGCGAAGCTTTCCCTAAGTTAGGCTTTCTGTCCTTTGGGCTTCTACAGTAGGCTACTCATAGCTCTATTTTAGCACTTATTTAGCATTAAAGTTTTGCAGTCCCAGGAAGTTTTCCACATCACCCCTGTCCTTTAAAAAACCTTTGTTTACCACTTAGAATGTGCCAGGCAATTGGCATTAATTCACGCCCCCACCTTTTTTTTTTTTTTTTTTTTTTTTTTTGGCGGTGGAGGGAGTATTTCTAATTTCCAGAAACTGAGGCTGAGAAAAGCTAAGGGCGCAAGGTCACAGAGCAAATGCGTCACAGAGCAAATGCATCACAAAATCAGGATGTGGTGGAGATCCGTTCACTTTCAATACAAGCTCTACTACAACAGGTTACTTTGCACTCAGGGGCAGTTTTCAACTTTACATTCTCAACTCCAATCCTAGCTCCTGGTACAGAACATGTCACACAAGTTACGCATCACTGGTCCCCTGCTCTTGGTAAAGTTTTCTTTTGTGCACTGCACAGAGAGGCGCTCATTAGCAGCTGGCGATGGAGACGCCGAAACGCAAAAAGATTTAAGAGACTGAGCGACTCCCATCTCTATGGTTGGTATGTGACCCATCTAGCCTCTGGAGGACTCAGCAAGCACCACCAATTACCATACAACCTGACACTTACGTGCTCGCAAATTGAACTTGCTATTGGTTAATGGAGGTAAAGCCCGCCCACCAGCTCCAGGCGGCTCCTTTAAGAGGCAGCCGTCGCCGTTTTTCAGCCTTTTGGAGACTGCAGATCCCTAATGGTAAAGTTGTTGTGCTTGGCGGGCCTTATGGCTGGGTGGGCCCAGGAACAGGGTGGCGGGTGGCCGGCCTGCCGTGATGACTTTCCAATTAAAGCACGTGTTAGACTGCTGACGCGGGTGATGCGAACTCGAGTCTGAGCCGGCCGGAGCAGAGCTGGGAGGTAGCGGCCAGGAGCGCGCGCGCATCGCTCACCCATCCGCTGTCATTCTTGCAGTTCCCAGCTGAGGACGTCGGATCTCATCGTCCATGCTGCTTTGCCACGCCATTCCCCTCAATAAAGTGGTTTGCTCTCAACCTTGGTGTTGGTGTGTGCTGTGGGCGACGCGCTGTCTTTGAGCCCCCGCCGCGCCTCCGAGTAGCGCCGGGGGTCAATCTGCAGCGCCAGAGCACGTGCTTGCGCATAACTGGGGCCGCGTGGCCCCCCCCGCCGGCGGCCCTTTTAACCGCGAGCTACAATAAATAACCTGGCTGCCAGGCTGGGCAGTTTTCCAGGCGTTTGCCACGGCAGGCCTTATCCCATAATACCAAGGCTGGAATGGCGTGTTAGGTGAGTGATGGCTGACGGAGATACGCAGACTCCGGTGCGTAGTGAGTGCCCCTCTGCTCCCATACGTTCCCCAGCCCAGCCCTCCGAGTGCATGGTGCGTGCTGTGCCTATGTCGTAAGTCCCAAGCTATCGTGTCTGCCATCCGACGTGCAGGGTTAGTTGAAGGTTGCGTGGAATGGCGTCTGCAGGGCCACTGTGTACTTGAAACAGATTCGGTGTGGAACTGCATGAGTTAACTCCTGGCTAAAGGGTAATAGACCTGTTTACAAATAATCACCATACAGGAGTACTGTGTGACAAGCATGGGACTAAAGCTATAGGCAGGTCAATCTGTCATGCCTAAACGGCTCAAAATTATAGGGCGGTTGTGAAATCTAATTCATTTTATATGTAGCTGGGCACAATATAGATACCTCGTACACAGTCCAGATTCTATGGTTGATAAAAGGGCTTCCACAAAATCTCCAGTGAAAAATGTGCATCAGTTCCTGACTGCAAGGCAGCAACGGTGGGCAAGGATGCACGTGTGCGTTAACTACTTGGGCATTAGATGAATGAAGGTGTCCCTGATTAACGTTACTAGACGATGAAGGGTGTCAACTTCAGCCCGGGAGCACCACGACCCTACCCGCTCAGTTAGGAACTTTAACTGGATACTGTTGTAAAAACACGCGCTTTGAATGAAGAGACCTTTCAAACAGGTTTTGTGTGAGCAACATGGTTGTTTATTCACCTGGGTGCAGGTGGGCTAAGGCCGCAAAGGGCAGTGGAATAGGAATTGGTTTTATAGGTTTGGGTAGTTTTTTGCGGGGGGCGGGGGTGTTGCGGACAAGTTTAGTTACAGTGGTGGGGTTAGGTGAGAGGTATGTACATTACATGATAGCAGGATTGGGCGAGGGGCTTGTCTGGGGAAGCTCTGCTGGGCGATCAGGGACAATGGCGAACACAGCGGGTGGGAGACTTGAGCCGAGGCAAGCAGGAATTCAGTCAGGCTCCAGGCTTGCATAGGGACACCTGACAGATCTTTAAATGGGTGATGAGGATGATCGTACATACTGTGTAGGATGTGGTGACAGCCTTGCAGCCTCAGGACTGGGCAGTGATCAACCCAGTAAATGAAAGCTGTGTTTGCCAGGGGAGGACCCAGGTGCCCTGTACTGATTTTATTGTGCCCCTATCTGAACAGGATTAATCAGAAATGACTTAGATGCTTATCTAGTATTTGACATGAGATATTTATTTTGTGAAACAATGCAAGCGATTTTCAATCCCCACATACTATTTAAGTGCAACACGGTACAGTCAAGTGTAATCTCTTTACACGATAGTGCATGTAGTCCTTAGCCTTTAGTTATTGCACAAAAATGATAAAGACCAGTGACCAGGACACGCAGACTGACTGGCAAATCGGCCTACACAATGAAAAATCAGAACAGTACACCAACTGGAATGGTCAAACGATTTAAGTCAAATGTTTTAATGGCGCAATTAAAATAAGGGTTCAAACATGTTTTCAATATATTAATTTCTTTAAAGTCATGTTCAGGCAAGGTGCTGTTTAAAAAACCACTACTAGCTTTGTCCGCAGATTTAAGTTATCAAAAGTTACCCAAGGTAATTTTGAGGTTGAATGCAGCTTTAAACAATAATAATTAAAAAAAAGATACTAGGTTTACTTCTCAAAGCAAATAATACAAGAGAGCCCCCAACCTTGTAAACTAAACATTCTGACACAAATGCACAAAATTAAGTTGGCAACATTAAGGAAAATCACATTAATTCTGAGATACAGCGTGTGATGTTGAGCAAACTTTTGGTCTTCAATAATTTGAGAGCAGTTCTCAGTTTTGGCCATCGGGAAGGAAAACTGCCCATGGAACTCTCCCAAACCAATTAGGTTAACAAGCCATTTAGAGTGCCATATAAAACCTGGAGGATACAGGAAATACCAGATGGAAAAACTGACTCTGGCTTTCTGGCCCCATCCCAACTGTATGAGAGGAACCATCCTGTCGTGTGCAGTGTTTGATGTTTTCATGTATGGTCCTGTCTCAGGAAAACACTGAAGATTAGCAACCAAGTGGTTGTACCTCATTGGTAAAAGGCTTGGGATGGTTTAATCTCATGGCTTTGCGTGATGTTCACATAGACCCCACTGTCCCTACCCAAGCTGACAGCGTGTTATTGTGTATGTTCTATGGCTACTTATTTCCAAAATGCACAATTTAATGTGGAAAAAAAGCATGTTGCTATGCCCATTTCTTCTGTCACCAAAATGAAAAGGCTCACAGAATTCCTCTCCCCACCCTCTAGACACATTGCACACTGACACATTCTCTGGAAGTGTGGAAGGCCGCGTATGAAGTGTAGAAGTGAAAAAGTCCCACTGTGCACCGGCTGCCTGAAGAAAAGCTTTGGAGGAGTAGAGGAGGCAAGTTGCTCAGCTTTGCTCTTACTGTGCTCCTCTGCTGCCACAAAAATGGGTAGACTTTTAAAAGCCATGGTGTGGGTCACCTGTAACTTCTGGATCCACCATGATTCTTCCACAGACTCCTTTGCCAAATCAAAGCTTTGCAGCAGGCAATCCACACATTTGTCACTGGATGCAGGGAATGACACCTCAGTAGAATGGGCACTGGCAGGCAGGGGGCAGAAGCAGTCGTTCAAGAAACAGTAGCTGTGACACAAGTAGAGGCCAGTGCTACAGTACAGATGGCAGCCAAGAACCCCTCACGTCCAGCTCGATGTCACAATACGCGGAACATCCTACAGCACCCATCATGGCTGATCAGCAGCCTCCACAGGGGGGTCTTTCAGGAGGCAGGAAGTGGAGCGAGGGTCCATGGCTGAGTGCATTATAGGGATATAAACATCATCCATGTTTGGCATGACAAAAACTTTCTGTAGGAAGATATTAAAGAACAGCCATGTGGAAGAATGCCTTGCCAGGATGTCACCCCTCCTTTGTTCTGATAATTTTAGGCCTTGGACAAATTTTTAAAAATACATATAAAAACTTCCTATGGCTGGGCGTGGTGGCTCACGCCTGTAATCCAAGCACTTTGGAGGCCAAGACGGGCGTTTCACCTGAAGTTGAGAGTTCAAGACCAGCCTGACCAACATGGTGAAACCCCGTCTTAAAGAAAAAATAAAACTTCCTATGTATTCCAAACTAATTCTCCCACCATATATAATTTAATTTAGAAAGAGCTGAGGAATCATACCAGTGCATAGATACAGGTATCATCTAATACACAGCTCAGAGGCAGAAGCAGCCTTTGATTTCCTGTACATATAAGATTGTCCATATGCACTAATAAATATCCAACAATATTAATTTAAGAGAATTGGCTGAGTCTGTTTACAGTATTTCCCAGTTACTATGTTTAGAACATATATTCCATGTGAATTACCTTTTTATTAATAAATCCTAGCAACAAAATGTAAGCTAATGGCTGGGCATAGTGGCTCACGCCTATAATCCCAGTACTTTGGGAGACCAAGGTGGGTGATTGATTACCTGAGGTCAGGAGTTCAAGACCAGCCTGGCCAACATGGTGAAACCCCATCTCAACTAAAAATACAATAAAATTAGCTGGGTATGGTGGTGCACACCTGTAATCCCAGCTACTCAGGAGGCTGAGGCAGAAGAATTGCTTGAACCTGGGAGGCGGAGGTTGCAGTGAGCCGAGATCGTGTCCCTGCACTCCAGCCTGGGCAACAAGAGTGAAACTCTGTCTCAAAAAAAAAAAAGAAGTAAGCTAATATTTTTTAAGCCAGAATCATACAAAGCGATAAAACAAATCCTACTATAGTGAACACCCAAAGGATAATCAGTGACTGGTAGTAATGGTGCTTGGTCTAGCTGTTTATAAAATAACTTTATATATATATATATATATATATTTTTTTTTTTTTTTTTTTTTGAGACGGGGTTTCGCTCTTGTTACCCAGGCTGGAGTGCAATGGCGCGATCTCGGCTCACCGCAACCTCCGCCTCCTGGGTTCAAGCAAGTCTCCTGCCTCAGCCTCCCTAGTAGCTGGGACGACAGACACGTGCCACCATGCCCAGCTAATTTTTGTATTTTTAGTAGAGACGGGGTTTCACCATGTTGACCAGGATGGTCTCGATCGCTTGACCTCGTGATCCACCCGCCTCGGCCTCCCAAAGTGCTGGGATTACAGGCGTGAGCCACCGCGCCCGGCAATAACTTTATATTTGAATCTCAGCAATGCATCCGTCTTCAGTGATGCTCTCTAACAAAACCATAAATGAAAACAAGCAGGTCGCTATGGGGGGTGCAGCAGTTGCTCTTCAACTTCCCAGCCTGTCTCAAAAATTCTAGGCACCAATCTCTGCCCCCTCTTCCCTTCTTTTATTCCTTGTAGCCCAATACGCCTAAAAGGGATAGGCCCACCCAGATTCCTAAAGTAGGTTCTAGGGATATAAGAAAAGGGAAAAAATATGAGGCATGATGTTCTTTCCCCTCACTAGGTTCAAAGTACTTTTCTATTTGGTGATGACATTAATTAAGCTTTTTCAGAAATTGGTTATCAGTTATGTTTAATCTTTAGTTTTTAAATAAGAGCATTTTTTTTTAAAGGCAGTAACTCAAAATATACCACCACAAAATCAATGTAGGTCTTCTTCAAAAGGTAAATTTCATTAAAAGTTTGCTAATCCATAAATCCCTGACAGATAACAGTGCTTCAAATATCTGATAAAAGTTTGATGGAAATAGCTCATCCCAGGGCCTCAGCTACACTATTACCTTTGGTGGCCAAATGCAGAAAACCAAGCCTAGAGAGTAAGCTCTGGCTTAATAAACTCCAAGAGCACACTAGAAGCTACCCAGGGGAAGGAGAGGCCCGGTTCATCTTTGGACTCCCAGGGCAGCAGCTGGTACCTGG